GGACCATGGCAGAAGGGATTGATGGACTGAAGTTGTCCCCATCCTGTAACGCTAACCATCAAGATCAAGCCTAAAGAAAAGACTATCCTGCTGGAAGGGAATTAAAAAGGGAGGAAGTGTAAACCTCAGAGCAAGTGCTCCCCTGAGAAGAAGAATCAGTGGCCTGACACAGAAGACTCAGGGGTCAAACAACTATATCAGGGAGAAACTGTAGGGAGTGCCGTGCTTGTGAAGAAGCCTTGAATTGGTCTTTATGTTGTTTTGTAAATAATATCAAACTCCAGAAAGGTTTTTTTTTTCTTTACACTGCACAGGTTATGTGGACTTTTTCTTACCTCGTGGTAAAGTTGTGTAGACATTTTATTAGTTATGACGTGTGACTGGAATGGCAGCTCTCTTAGGCAGGAAGTACATGCAAAAAGATGGGTGAATATTTTTGGTTGATGTTTATTTCTTGGCCACCTCATAGGTTATTTATTTTACCAAATACATCCTTGGTTTAATGCATTTAAGCTTAGGAGTAAAGGATTTAAGAGTCTATCAGTTTTTCCATAGAGACTTCCTTATAAAAGTATATCTGCTTTCAGCCACGCAAGTAAATACATTGAAAATTAATTACCATATTATTTCAGAGAGTACATTAGAGCCTGGCTCTGTAATTCTTTACTATGTTTCGGTAACTTCAACTGCACTACTGATAAAGGTCCTGATTCAGCAAATTCTTCTTAATAGTAAATTGTACTTGCACATATATTCACAGCACTGATGAGACATTATGTAGTTTTTTGTCTCAATTAAGGTGGGTTTGGAGACCGTTTGATGTAGGATACCACTGGAATTGGCATATACTGTAGCTTGAAATTAAGATTTAGTATTGTATTTAATAGTTTAACATTTCCCAATGAGAACACACGTTCCTGTCCTACTTCCTCTGCTCACTCTTAACAATTATAACAAAGTCCATTATAATTAGAAAGGACCCAAGCCACAAATTTGAGATCTAAATTTTCCAAAACATGGGAATATTCAGACCTGAGGTTTTGGCTCTGTCCATCTTTCACTTGTGAAATGATCCTGCCCCCTTTTTATTTTGCACTGAGTGTAAATAAGAACTAATTGTATTGAAGTCTGTGGGCATGTTGTAAAATTGGCAAGAATGCAAAATCAGGCCTAATATCTCTCTGTAGCTCTAGAAAGGAGATCAAAATGAGCTTGTAGGTCTTTGTAATTTTTTTACAACCAGTTTTCTTTGCCTGTGAGATTTGTGCTCAATGTAAAACTGAAAAGCAGCTGATTTTAAGCCAAAGCCCATGACTTTATGCTGTGCATACGCGAAAAAAGTAGTAATACTTTCTGAAAGCATTAAGGGATCAGTAGAGATTCCATTCTCTTTCTGTATGTAGTAAAATGCAGTAAATAGACTTCAAAGTAGAGATGTTCCACTCTAATAAAAAAGCATCTGACCATATTCCTTAATTAATAATGAATCTAAAGAATTCACACATGTGTATTTGTATACCAGATTAGTTCTTGTTTTCTGTGTTGCCATGTTGTTTTTCCTGTTTTTATAAAATCCCCCCCCCCCCCAAAAAAAAATTGAAGAACCAATTCCTGACAGATTCGTATCTTCAACTTCCATTGAATTCACGACTTCAGGATGTCACCCTAAAATATGTGTGATCTCATTCTCTAAAATAGGGGTGTGGAACCTTTTTTGGTTGAGGGCTACTGACCTACAGAAAAATTAGCCATGAGCCACACATAAGTGAGAAGTGCCCCCCCAAAGCCCCTAACCCTCACTGATGTGGCCCCTGACTGAGGAGAAAGACACTCCCCACATTCCTCTCATGCACCAGAGCAGTGGGGGGGAAGGGGGCAATCCTGGTAGATTCTGAGTGCTCCAGCCCCATGGGGAGACGGTGGGGGGGCTTGAGTGCCAGCCCAGGCTCTCCAATGCTGGGGGAGGGGAGTCCTGAGCCTCAGGGGACATATTCAGGCAAGATGGGGGCCTCAGGTTCCCCACCACTGCTTCAGAACAAATTACTGTACTCCATGAAAGGTGAAATATAAAGGACTTATGTGCTGTAAAGCAGCTTTGTTGCGTCCATGTTTTTGTTTAATGTCTCAGTGGGATTTCAGCTGGTTAACTAAACTGTGGTTATCAAAAGGCATGAAATAACGCAGTCTTAACAAATAATTAAGCAAGTTTTGTCTGGGGAGTCTTTGTTCTTTTTTTTTTTTTTTTTAAGGTTTACTGTGATTTTCTTAAGGTCTGTACAATGTGTATGATTACCCAAGCTAACTAGTCCCTATCAAGGAATTGCCTTGAGATTTCACAGCTCTATTGCTTTGCGGGGCTCTGCTTATGTTTTATCATGGATTTTTGGCAAGCTAATCGATTTCGTTGACATTCATTACCACAGTGATCAGTTTAGGGGCAGTATCATAGCTATTGTTTTATGATATTATTGCATAACTTTGCTCTAGTCTTAGTCTAATATTCTAATAATGCATACAGTCTGTTGCCGAGTTTGGATTTTCAATTGACATCACAATGTGTTTTAGAGAGCAATACTATTTTGTCCACTGTGGTGTGTGTTAAGAGGTTAGGAGGAGTATACACACTTTGTGATCAGTCTCCTGTGTTTGTGGTTCTCATGCTCATGTTTTCATTATATATAATATTTTCAGTGCAAATTAATTGACTTATTTTCTCCAAATTTGTTAGATATTATGTTATTCTGTTATGAAAGCTGCCTCTGTCAGTGAAATAGTTAATTGTAAACCACAAAAATGATTCTGTGAAGTAGATACTTAACGAGCAGACCTGTGAATTGAATGTCAATTGTTGAACAGTTTAAATGTTCCCATAGATGAGTAACTAATACTTTCTTTATCAGGTAGCTTGTTGCCCATCTGACTTCTCTTCTATGTGTTGAAGAGGAGGGTTTCTGTTTTATTAAATGTTAGAATTGTTTTGTTAATCATGTTAACATTAAAAACAGTGAGAACATGGCTTTTTGGAACACATTTTTTTTCCCATCCTGGACGTAATGATGTGATTACTACAATAAAAAAATTTCTCTGTATTCTAAGCTTTAGCAGCCTTGACCTCATTACAAGATTTAATATGCTTAAAATGCAGAAGTGAAGTAAAACTATATCTGGTAATTATATTTAAGAAGCTGTTTAGTGTGAATAGTTTCATTAGAAATGTTCATAATCTGCTTTTAATAGAAGCAGCATAAGTAAAAATGTTATCTATAATCTGTAAACCCCTGATGCTAAATTAATAATATCTAGTTAAAATTCAGATGACAGTGTTACCATTATTTGAGCCGCTTGAATATATTTATAAAAGATATACTAAAATAAACACCAAATTTTAATTTCAAATTGTAATTGCCCATCTGGCCAGAGAATAATATTGTTGTAGTGAAGATAGTGAAACATTAGCAAATTGTTGGAATACAATCTATATAACACCAAGAGTAAGAATAAGGCTTGTGATTCTTCAAGCTGAGAATTTTAACAGACATATCTTTTGTAGTTTGAAATTAATATTGTATTAATTTAAAAAATGTACATAAAAATTAGAATGGTCATGGTATTTGATTTAATGGTTAGGTTTTCCCTCAGCATCTTGATTTTAACCTTCATAAGCACAGCATCCCTGACACTGATAGTAAATATGAAAGGTAACCACAATGAAACACTTAAACAGAGGAAATAAATCTCTAATACTAATGTGCTCCTTTACTGTTGCTGCCTTCAAGTAAAATAATATAATCATGGAAAGATTTTAAAAAATGGATCTTTTCAAACTTCCACATCCCAGAGTCTAATGAGTTAAATTTCTCTCTGTGATGCTTACGCAGAATTTAAGCTGTTTAGACATACAAGGTCGAATTAAACTGCTTCACTGCCTATTCTGGCTCCTCTGGCAGAGAGAGGAGCTGCAGTTCCTCTGGGACAGACCTCTTGGGAGACATTGACACAAGCTGAGAATTTGTTTCTTGCTTTGCAGAATGCAAAGATGCCCTATTTTGTCATGGTTCTCCACTCCCCACAAATCCAAGTCTAATCACAATCTGAGTTTCCCTTTATTGTTGGAGCTCTCTGTAGCATTATATTAAATAGAGACACTGAGGTCACAGGAGAGGATTTTTGAGTGATACCGACGCAAGACGGAAACCCCTCTGCATGAAGCAGCAAGATGCAAGGTCCCAGGCTATCTCTTTGACTTTGGTGTTTGATGTGTACTATTCTTTGTCCCATTTGTCTGTTAATTTTCATGCTGTCTCCAGCTGAAATGTGTATTGGTTTGGGATATTAAATGGTGAGAGCCACTGTTTTCCAACTATAATAACAGTTGACAAAATGCTAGGAGCTTCAAAGCTGGAGCAAGGTGTGTGTTCCCTTGCCCCCACTACTTTACAGCAAGTTACTGGGAGGGAAATCTGCTTGGTAATAATTTCATTACCATGTTTTTATAGGTAGGTATAATTACAGTCTCTTTGTTGGGACTATATTTGTGCTTTATAATAGAAAAGTTAATAAGCCATGGTAGTTGTAATCAATCCTATAAGGCTGAAGCACCTTATGCATCTTCCGAAAATTCTTTAACTGCTAATCCCCTGGCAAGGTGTTTTATTAGCTGAAGCTATGGTATTTTTCTAGAACAAAGACATGGTTTGGACATACATAGTGATATTTCCTCAATCCTTTTCTTCCCTTATCTGTCATGAAAGTTATAGGACACAGTACCTATTCCCAGGCAGCCACATACTATTGCATAACAGTCCCTCCCCAAACATTTTAGCTTAGCAGCTTTACACTTTTCACCATGAAGTTTTAATTATGAAAACCTGGAAACTCACTATTTGCATGAATCCTCTCTCAGGGAGGTAGCAAAGCAGACTCTATGATTCTGATCCCTCTGGCTCTGTAAGGAGCATTACAGTTTAGGGTAACATGTCTATTTGCAGTGGAAAGCTTACCTTAGGCTGCCTTAAAAATAACTAAAAGTCTGTGCAATTCCTTTGTGATGCATTTCTCTCCGCTCACTTCTGCAAGCTTGCAGTGAAACGATCCACTGGTGTAGAGCATCTGCTGCAAGATACACCGGCTGGGAATTTTCTTTTGCTTTCCGGAGACTTGATCACCACCACCCCTTTAGCTATCACACTGAGACATTTATTCAGCTGTGACCAAGAGAGCGTTTGCTAGAGGCAGCGGCGGCGGCGGCAGCCACGCACTCCTGAAATGTCCTCATTTACTGCAATTGTCTTCACTGAGATCTCGAATCCAAGGGAGAAGGGGGAGGGGGTAGAAAGGGAGGGGGTCGCTTCAGCAGCCACCGTTTCCAAGCTGGTCAGGACGAAGCAATCTCTGTAGTGTTCCTGTCTCGCAGGCAGATGCTTTGATGAAGCTGAATTCCCTGCTACTTTTGGAAATGCATGAGCGATGGAGAGCGTGGCGTGTGCTGTGGCGCTAGGACGAGAGCTCCGTGTGTGTGTCTCGCAGGCAGGCTGTGGGAGGCAGGCAGCAAGCAGCCACTGGCGCCGGCTCTCCACTAGGGAGAGTTCTCGTGTTCACTCACTCTGATCTGGACGGGCTGTGACAGGGAACTTGTTGAGTTTAACGTGCAGATCTTAAAATAATGGTTGATATCGTGGGTCCAGTGACGGAGGAGCGGGGAGGAGCCGTGGTGCTGGCTTGTAATTCACACGAGGGGGAGTCTCAGCGAGGGAAGAATTCTCCCAACGTTTTGGAATTTTACGCGCATTTGCTTTATTGCCAGGAGCCTGTCTCGATTTGAGTGTAAACAAAGCTGCACCGGAGCTAAACCCGAGACTGTACCAGTGTGTTGAGTGGAATTAGCATCTTTTGGGCTTGTGTGTGTGAACATGTACACAAGTATAGTGTAACACAGCTGTTCTGAAGGGGGGCGGGCTGTGAGCAGTGTCAGGGTTTGCAAAGCAGAGTCCTCCAATGCTGGTACCCCACTGCTAAAGGTTGGTGCGCCCCTCCCCCCCCAGCCTCCCTACCCAGATAGGCTAAAGACTAGAGCCCCAACCCTCCCCCTTCCCCACCCAGCAGAGGCAGAAGCCCCATGGAGCTAGAAGCTCTGGGCCACTCCTCCCTCAGCTCCACCAGGCTAAAAGCTCAAACAAGCCCTTTGGGGCTGGAAGCTCTGAGTGTGGTGTCTTGACCCACTGTCCCTCCCATGCAGCTAATACCAATAACTTTGAACCCAGGCCTCCTTGCCCCTGGAGGTGAAGTCTGGACTGGTGGTACTCTGTGGGGCAGTGTAGTGGGGCACTATTTGAAACCTTAGGGGGACAAAAAGCCCCCCCCCAGCCTTGGAGGAGGGACGACTGAATCTGGGGATCAAATGATTCCAGGGGACAAATAATGAAAAACACGGTCAGGGGGTGTGGGTCAGTGGTTTAAAATGAGGGAGCCAGATGGGGACACTGCACAGAGAACCCCGGCCAGCACCCACTGCTCCTCAAAGTTATCGATGGGCAGCACTAGCTGGTCTCAGTCGACCGCGCTACCATCAGGAGCTCGGTCCAGAGCGCACTGCAGGCGTCCGCTTCGGTCGGATCTGGGGAGAATTAACTAGTGTAGAAGGCCCTGGCCCTTCCACGCATCTCTTCCAGATCTGTGAGGGGGGAGCTGTCCTCTGCCACAAGGCAGGTGATGTGCTTTTTGGTCCCCCTCCTTTTCTCCAGGGCATAGAAGAAGCGGGAGCTGCAATCCATCTCCCGAAGGAAATGGATGCGGGATCAAACAAAGGATCCCAGGGCCCGATGGTCTTTGAGGGCCCGGAGTTCCTCCCGCTTCTCCTGGTATGCCTCGTGGAGGGGTGGATCCTCGGGGTCAGATGCCAGGCACCTCTCAAGCTTCAAAACCTCCCACTCCAGCTGCTCTATCGCCGCATCCCTCTGCTGGCTGGTGCCCTGGGAGTAGTCACGGCAGAAGAGCCGGGCGCGCACCGTCCCCACATCCCACCATTGCTGCGCCAAGGGAAAGGCAGATCGCTGTCCCGGCCAGATGAGCCAGAACTCCTGGAAGCTCTCATCCTCCAGCAGGCTATTGTTAAAATGCCAATAGGCCAGCCCTAGCCTCTCCTGGCTAAGAGAGGCCTTCACGGCCACCAAATGGTGGTCCGTGAATGGGGCCGGCCGGACGCTAGAGCAGTGGGCTCATGCTAGGTGGAATCAAGATAGATAAATGCGGTCCAGCTCGGAGTGGTGCAACCAATTGTCCCCCACCCAGACATAGGTGAAGGTGGTGGTGTTGTCCAGGTGGTGGTAGCACCAGATGGCCACCAGGGAGTGGTGATCTATTATTTCCCTGAGGATGTCGGCCATAGCCTGGCAGTTCTCAAGTCCTGAGCAGTCCCGGTCCTCAAAGGTGGTGTTGAAGTCCCGCTCAGGACCAAATACTCGTGAGGATCCAGGGTGCCAATGACAGTAGCTGCCTGCTGATAAAAGGTTACCCTTTCTGGGCCCAGGTTCAGGACATAGACGTTGACAAATTCAATCTCAGCCCCTCCGCGGGCCCGGATATGCAGCAGGCAGCCTGGGACAAACTTGGCAAACCCCAGCACCCCAGCAACATGAGCGCTGAGGTGGCTGGAGTACACACCGTTTCCCCATTCCAGCCACCAGCCAGCCTCAGTGGTTGGAGTCGTGTGTGTCTTCTGCAGGAAAACCACCAAGTACCCCACCTTCTGAAGGAGAGCACCTGGATCCTGCAGAGACTTGCCCTACAGCCTCAGACATTTGTCGTGATGGTTGTGTACCTCGTCGTGATGGTTGTGTACCTCATAGTGAGGGCTGGGGTGCATCCTTGCGTGCAGGCTGATCGTCAGCCTCCCGAAGGACCCGCAACAAACCGCTCCCTGACCTAAAGGCCAGGAGAGCGTTGCAAAATTTGCAGATCCAGTGGTAGGCTGCAATGTCCTGCCTTTTGATCCTTTTTCCCTCCTGCAAGAGGGCTCTTGTGGTTCGGAGGACCACAAGAGTGAAAGTCCCCCCATCCCTGCAGGGAGCACTGCACCTTGCCTTTAGCCCCGCGGGTGTCCATGAGGAACTGGCACAGGTCAGCCCTCAGCGATGAGGGGGTTAGAGCAGAGGGGTATTCCTCCAGATGGGCCACGGAGACGGGCAAGCAGGGCTCTGATCTCGGCGCAGCACCAAAAGCTGTGGCACCATGCTATCTGTCCCCCTCTCTAGTGAGGGAACAGGGCAGCCCTTATTGAACTGGGAATGGGGTACACAAAGACCACCGCCTGAGGGCTGCTCGCACATAGTGGGAAGAAGATGGCCCCCCCCAGGGGTGGCAATAGCAGTGGGATAGTGGGATGGGAGGCGCTAGAAGGGGAATGGGTGTCGCGGAAGGGGGAATAGGGTCGGTACCGCGAAGGATCTGGGTGGTGGTGGGGGCAGGACTAGGAATGGGGGCAGAACTGGGGCCGGAACCATGAATAGGGGTGGGATCAGGACCGGGGGTTTAGATGGGAATAAGGGAGGGATCAGGACAGGGAGAAGGGCCATGGCTTACAAGGGGACAGTCCCTCAGGTCTGGGCCACCAGGCTGCGGTGCCTCCAGAATGGGGTTGGGGACCGAGGGGATGGAGGTGGAAAGGGGGATTATGCTGACGCCGGGCTCCGATGCTTGGATGGAACTTTTGTTAGGATGATTGCTGAGCCCCCAACAGGGAGAAAGGGTGACTGCTCCACCTCAGAGGTAGAGGTGGTGCCCACAAGTCCAGAGGCCCAGCCGCTTGGAACCATACATCTCCCTTAAGGGCTCAGCAGCCTCAGATGCAGTGCCTATGGTGGCCGGGCTAGCAGGGAATATTAGGGGCACCCCGAGGATGAGAGTGGAGGCCTGAGGCATGGGAGAGGGAGGAGGAGGAGAGAGCGGTGCAACTGAGTTGCTGCCCAGACTGAGGCCCACTAGCAACAGGTCCTCCTCCTGAACTACTGGGGTCAGACCCAGGGCCTCAATCTCCTCGAAGATGGATCTGAAGTCCATCCCCATGGCCCCAGAGTCCTCCCCGCTGGCTGCTGAAGCAACAGTTGCCCTGGCAGTGATGATGGGGGCTACGGATGGTAAAGGGGCCAGGGTAGCTCCATCCTAGGCCTCTTCTGGGTTAGGCTCCACGAGAGGGATGGGACTGTCCCCCTCCATTGCCATGACTTTCTAAGCCAGCACCTCCTTGTCGAGGGTGATGTCAGCAGCAGTGACCCCCCATGGTACCTTGCAGGGAACCTTTCCACCCTCCTCATCAGAGGGGGGAGATTGAGCCCATGAACCGCAGACTCTGTACTTCCCCTGAATGAGAGTCCAGGCCTCCGAGGTGGAAGTGGACAGCTGGTCAGCAGGGGCAGGGCCAGGGAGCGCAGGTGGTGTTCGGGGGGAAGGGCGAGGGTAGGAACTGGGAGGCAAGGAAGGAATCACTTCTCCCCACCAAACAGCAGGCAGGGGAGGAGGGCGTCAATGGGGGAAGGAGGTGGGGGAAGAGGGAGATGGGTTGACCATTCTTCCCTATGACAGTGGAAGTTCAGGAGGAGGGTACTGAATCGGGGGGGGGGACTAGGAATCAAGGGGAGCAGGCAACCACTCCTCCCTGCTAAACAAGAGGTTGAGGAGGACAGGGACAGCCGAGGGAAGGGCTCCCCTCCTCCCTGTTGAGCAAGACAGAGAAGGAGAGCGCTGGGAAGTGGGGAGGGACGCAAGGGGGCTGGGAAGAGGGGGTTCAGGATGGGGAGGGGGGATGGGGAAAGCAACCACTCCCTCCTGGTGGAGTGTTGTATGGAGGGAGGGCACTAGCGGGGGAAGGGCGCTGATGGGAAACTGAGGAAAGGGGAGCAGGTGGCCACTCCTTCCTGTGAGGCAGGAGGCAGAGGGGAAGGGCACGAGAGAAGGGGGCATGGACGCGGGAGTGGGGTCCTCCCTGCAAGGTTGGAGGCAGATGAGGAGGACGCTGGCAGGATGGGACAGGGGTGCAATTGCAGGTGCTGGACGGGAGGGTGGGGGTGGCTCCTCCGGCTGTACTGGGAACGGGGGGTTGTCTATGGCAACATGTAAGGTGGGTATAGTGAACAGGGGGCACTAACAAAATGGGAAAGGAAGGAGCACGAGCGCTCGGGGAGGCAGCCAGGGCAGGGAACTAATGGGAGGCTGTGGGGAGGGAGCAAGCAGGAGCAATGAGGGGCTGGGATTGATGGGGCACTGAGGAGGGCGGAGGCTCAGAGGACAGGGCAAACACAGCAAACTGACCAGTGGTAGGGGAGGAGCAGCAGACCAGGGAACTGCGTGGAATCGGGCAGGCAACAAACTGAGTCTCAGGGAGGGCTGTAGCAGGAAGGAAGGAGAAACAAACTGAGCTGCTTGGGCAAGGCAGGGAGGCAAGCTTCTGGGTGGGGAAATGGGAGAGGAGGGCAAGACAAGGGATGGGGGGAGGCCCCCAGAAAAATGTAGCTGAGGGAGTGGGCTAAGTCCAAGAAGGGGAGGATGTGCCCACAAGTGCTTGTAAGGCTCAGTCTCTCACCCACTGCTGCGCAAACAGTCCCAAGGTGGAAACAAGGGCAGCTAGCCTCGCCAAGGGGCTAGGAGACGGTCCTGGTGGTACAAGGGGGGGGGTATGGCAGTAGAAAAGGGGAGAGGAGTTGGACTGGAGGGAGAGCTCTGTGCTTCTCCCTCAGCCCAGCTTGCAATTTCTCAATTTACAACTACCCCTGGAGCAGAGGTATTAAAAGTCTCAGTTCCAGAAAACAAACTCCTTCCACAGTCCAACTGGTGGGCCTCCTCTTGCTCCTCCTCAATGGGTAGCCAACAGTGGAAGGACCTCTGGGTGCTGGTGGGTCCTCTTCACCTTTCCGGATGGGGAGGGGGCAGGGGTTTGTTAAAACATATGTATGCAGTGATATCCATTTGAGTCATGTGCTCTCCCCAGTTAATCCAGGAGGGGGTGAGTTAAAGTACATTAACTGCGTGTCGGCTGTGGATCCAACCGGAGTGACTGTAACTGACCAGAACGTCCTGAACGTGGTTGCTTTGGCACACCCTCGCATCCTCCTCCTCCCCCTCCCCCGCTCCCACCGACCCCTACTTTCCCATGCCCCCCCCCTCCCAGCAGTAGAGAGGAAAATTACATTAACTGCGTGTCGGCTGTGGATCCAACCGGAGTGACTGTAACTGACCAGAACGTCCTGAACGTGGTTGCTTTGGCACACCCTCGCATCCTCCTCCTCCCCCTCCCCCGCTCCCACCGACCCCTACTTTCCCATGCCCCCCCCCTCCCAGCAGTAGAGAGGAAAATTACATTAACTGCGTGTCGGCTGTGGATCCAACCGGAGTGACTGTAACTGACCAGAACGTCCTGAACGTGGTTGCTTTGGCACACCCTCGCATCCTCCTCCTCCCCCTCCCCCGCTCCCACCGACCCCTACTTTCCCATGCCCCCCCCCTCCCAGCAGTAGAGAGGAAAATTACATTAACTGCGTGTCGGCTGTGGATCCAGCCGCAGTTAATCAATTACTCTAACAACTTGAAGCAGCTGCCGGAGCACT